ATTATTTTCCATTCGATTATTCAGACAATATTGACTCCAATTGCTAATGGAATTATATCTAAGCAAAAAAAGTTAGTTCCTCAGCATGTGACAAAAAGTTCAAATTCTTGTTAAAAGGATTACTCAACAATACTTCAGATATAATTACAACAGAAAGATACTTGTAGTTAGCAAAGAAAATATTTGCTTTAGTTATTAAAGAGTTGGATATAAGATTACATTCTCATAACATGTCCAAGGAACATCTATATTTTTGTTTAGAGATATTCTTATATTTAGTGCTTAACAATCTCTCAAACAGGATTGCTTCCTATGGATGATAATTATGCCTTGAAAAATTATAAATATAAAATATAAAGTTGGTCGTGGTTGGCTCATATATTTATAAAAAAAGGAGCTATTAATATTTTTTTTAATCATCCTCCTTGGGGAAACCAGTGATGTCCAGAAAAATTAAAAATTCAGCATGTTCCTTAACGAAGAAGTTGATGTTCTAGTATTTGCTATAACTGGTAAATGTCGGTGTACGCAATGATATGATAAAATGTTAAAAATGCAAAGATTTTGGATAGACAAAGGCGGAGACATAGAAAGCCTCGTTTGCCAGTAATGTACGTATATGTTTTAGTTTGAAAATCATTTTATAGGACAGACTACAGAGCTATCGGCAGTTCTGCACAGATTATTATATTTAATTTCGATTTTAGCAAACGGAAGAATCACGATGAGACGTGCTCGTGGTCGGAGAGGCGATCTACACCGGTTACCCCTCCGAATAAAATGGCGCGTTTTCCAATTTATTCGTCCTGCGAATGTCATCGAATCACTCTAATTTATTTTTATCTCGACAAAATAATATTTCCCGTGTATCGACTATAAGATCTTCTTAATTACTACCTCCGGTTTTTAATATAACATCTTATTTGATTTTTATTTTATTTCTAAATATAAGATTCAAATCCACGTTGTCTCTAATATTTATATATTTTTAAAATAATTTTTCTAATAATAATAGTTCTAGCCAACATACTTGATTAACAATGATACTTTAGAAAAAAACACTTATTTATTACAAATAAGTGACTTAACTTATTTTATAATCTTCTTAAATTAGTCAACTAACTCTTATAATTAGAATCAGAGGTAGTATTTTGCTTTAGTTTATATATAATTTATTTATTTTGTCTTTAATTTGTCAAAAAGCACCTTAGTTAATGGTCAGTTTTTCGAATAAAAAGTCATCATTAATTAAAGTAGATCCTATTAAATATTAGGAATTTGTAGATGAGCAGCACAAATATTCGGTAAATGAATTACAAATAATTAATTTAATTAATTTTTTATTATTAACAAATTTATTTTTTTGAGCTGAATAATACTTCATTTATTTCAAAATCAAAGGGAAAACTACGATGACCAATAACCTGTAATAGCCAATATCAGCTGAAAAAATACAATCAGAACCAACTAATTAGCCGACGCCAGTCCTATTCCTGTTAGAGATTGCCAGACTTTGGAGATCTCTTTGCAAAACCAGCAACAAAGAAGATGTTGGTTGAGTTAGCCATCCTGACGGAACCATTCTTCTCAAAGCAACAGCTGCAAGATGATCAGCAGCTTCATTCCCTGCACATTTTCCTTTAAAAAGAACATCCTTAGTTGCGATAGCCCAACTGCAGCACGCCATAAAAAATGCATAACCTTTGGTGGCATCCTAATTTTCCAGATACAAGTCCACAAATACTTTGAAGGCACATATGAACCACCAGGATCCTTTCCACCTCCACCCTGCAACTTATTTATAGCTACTTTATAACTCATTTTTACTGAGTAATCACCATGCCTGCTGTGTAGCCACATCAATCTATCAACTGATTGAGGCACTGGCATTCTAATTATACCAATACAGCACTTCTCTTCCTGATTCAAGCACCCTTCCACCCTTTCAAAATTCCACACTCCATGTCTGATCAAATCTTTAACAACCAAATTAGCCATATCATCGGATCAAAACCCTACTTCTCAAACCATAACCTTCAATATAGGGAATCCACCTATCAGAGAAAACTTTAATATTTTCTCCCCCTCCTATCTTCCAACACAAGTCATCTCTAAGTAATTCCCTCCCTTCCAAAATACTTGACCCACCCCCACAGTGCTCTACTATATATCCTTCTTGGCCTGCATAAAGTCATTATTTGGAAAATACTTTCCTTTTAAAATCCTACACCACAGAGCTTCAGGATTTTGAAGTAATCGCCGAGCCGTTTTTGCCAATAGTGCTTTATTAAACATTTCTAGGTCTCTAAAACCCAAACCTCCTTCACTTTTGCTCTTGCTTAATGATTTCCCTGCCTTCCAGTGAATCCTGCCTTCCTGTCCTTTCTGACCCCACCAAGAATTAATTTGCCACCATACTATCCAAATCCATGCTTTTTTTGGGAACTTAAAGCATGTCATAGGACACATAGGAATTGCATTGGCCACTGCTTTGATTAATAACTCCCTCCCAGCAAATGTTAATAACTTTTGCCTCCAACCTTGAATTAAAATGTTTTAAGCATGAAGGAGATTGTTGTTGTTGTTATATAATTTTTATCTCTATATATTAATTTTTCTTAAACATTTTAGTAAATCTCATAGTTGTGGTGGGCTACACCAACCAACATGCTGGTGTAAGCAACATACAAATTACAAACCAAGCACTAGTGGATGCATGTGGATGATTAGAATGAGTTTCTTATCATTATTTTTTCATTGTGCATATTGATCCATTGATAATATTTTTTGGGACCAATTTTCTCTGAGTTAGTGTTGATACAAGACTAGAGAATATTACTTAATATTGAAAAATTGGGAAGAAGGCAAAGAATTAATTTTTAAAACATCCTACAAAATTTATTTTATATTTTATGAGACAAAATAAAACTCACCTTACGTGATTAGTTGATAGGGATGTCAGCTGTGCGCCTCTCAGCGGCTCCTCGTTTTTAGGGTTTTTCCCAATTTTTTTTATGTCTTTGCATCATTAGATTCTATATAAAATAAATAAAATTTTGATATCTTACGGACAAAAAATGGTTCAAGTTTCATTTTTTAATGATTTTTTAAAGATTTAATGTTTCAAGGGGTTCAGTTTTTTTAATTTGGAATGTTAAAATCTCTGAAAAATTATAAACATTGAAAACTAAACCATTTTTTGCTCATAAGATAATCAAAATTTTTACTCATTTAATGCAAAATCTAATAATGTAAAGACATGAAGGAAAAAAAACATTTGAGAATGGCCCCAAAAATGCAGTGCAGAACCTCTCCATTGCATGCTCTCTCGAATGCGCCTCCTTTTAACTGAAATGGCATCGTTTGCTTATTTACAAAAAAAAAATGGCAGCTTTTTTTCTAGCCCGTTCAGCATCCATTTCAAATTTGTTTCGGCCTCCCTTGTTTTGCAGCTGAGCAGGAAATTCTGGGTTTTGTCTCCAAAAAATTTTTGCAAGTTATATGTGAGAAGAAATCATCGGAGAAGTTGCTCACTGGTTCACCACTTGTATTTATTGGTTGCCTCTTCATCAGTTATACACCTCTGTGCTATGGTTTGTATGCAATCCTTTGAGTTTTTGGCAGGTTGTTTCCTATATATGATCGTTTAACCAAAAAAAAAAGAAGAAGAAAGTTCACTCAAAAAAAACCAAAACAAAAAAAGAAAAAAATCGCTTCATTTTATATTCTCTTGCTCGCCTCTTGCGTGCTTCATCACCTTTGTCTTGGGTGACTTTCAGATGATCACCTGATATCAGTTTGCCAAATTTGAGATGGACACAAAACAGGACTGGGAAAGATAGCTGCCAATTCTTTCTTTAAAATAAGCAAACGATGCTGTTTCAATTAAAACGGAGGCCAACAATGAGGGGCAGGTAAGAGGGCACAGCTAATGCTTTCAGATCCCATGTTTTTCTTATATGCCATAAAATCACTTAAAATAAACTAAACCAAATACTCAAGTTAAAAGAATTACCAAATCTTGGATGCATTATAGATCGGATATATGGGTGAATCAGTCAACCTTTATACATGGAGGCCTTATATGAGATGAGAATAATAACGGGAAGTACTGTGGCTTTATAAAGGAATTGTGATATTTCCCAATTCCCACTGCAGAAATGACAGGTATTACTATTAGAGAATGTGGGAAGCTTTTGCTGAAACCGAGGCAAGAGACCTAGTCATGTGTGAGATTAAGAGCTATATATATATATATATATAAAAGATATATATATATATATCTGTATGACTATATTGCCATACAACAAGTTATTGTGCGGATTGGTTCCCCAGAATGGCTCATAATATGAGTTCAGAGGAAATGATTGTAAAAGGGCTAGAATGGCTCATCTACCCATCCAAGACCCATCACTCTTGGATGAAATTCTGAGTTAGAATTCGATATTGATATGTTTAGGTGCGTGCGTCTAATTATATTATATAAAAAGTATTGTGAGGGTGCCTCTTCCTCCCTGCAAACGAAGGTGTGAGCATGCATTTCTCCTCCATTAAATCCCTTCTTATTATACCACTACCGCGGATAGAGAAATACTAATCAATATGAATTTTTGGACCGTTCATGACTACTTCGACAATCTTATTCTTACCACTCTTGCCTATATTGAGTTCGACATTTTCGAGGTTTCATTTCAAGAAAAATGGTATGCTGTCGATCTAATTAGAGGCTGCGGCTCGTTCGCTGTCATGCAACAAATGAAGTGTACAAAAAAGGAAAAAAAAATCAAGTTTAAAGACAAAACTACAAAATTTTAAATTAAAGGATCAAGTGATCTGATTAACTAACTGTATACTTTTATTATTCTCTTCGCATCATATATCTCCTATATATAGTTCGGAGGTATGAAATGAACCATATGAGTGCGTAGAGTACTACATATTTTATGCTTGAGATATTTACATAAATTCTTCACTTGTCCTTCTCCTTCATGCGATCATTTTGCCAGGAATAAGAGGCAAATCAACCTCGTCACACCGTTCCACATACCTCGCCTCAAAAAATGAAGTCCTTGCCTGATTTGGTCAGTAGCTTACCCAAAATTCCCCTCCTATCCTCCACTTCAACACACTCCCTTCCATCTCTTTGTTCAGCTTCCACCCTACTCCTTCTCCATACTCGTCCCCTGCCAGCACCACCGACCCGGTTTTCGTAAACGGTCTGTTCGCTCCCACGTACCTCCTCCTCAAGACCTCAACCCGTGAACCGGGCCGTCACGCATTTCCCCGCACGGCCTCCTCGTTGCCGTCTCCTGACTCGTTGCCTTGTCGTACAGAACGACGTCGAATATTGCGGCATTCCCCTCCGCTTCTTGGTCCAACCTCCAGTTCTTCCTCTTCGTCTTCGTAGATGTCCTCGCCACCGCTTTTCCCTTGGAAAGTTTCAGGTTCTGGAAATTTCCCTTCACGATTTTCTGTATCTCCACTTCTTTCTCCGCGTTCTCTGTTGATCGGCTCAAACTCAACCAGCCCACGTACGTCGCTCGGACTTCCGGGCCGACCCAGATTCTAACGCTGGACGGGAAGTGCTTCTCCTCGCCGTACTCCGCCTCCTCATTTTGGTTCTTGAACTCGAGCTTCACCACGTGCAGGCCTATGTTGTCGACGCGTGCACGAACCTGAATGAACCCATCTTTGAAAGCGACGGAGTATTCTAACTGGACAAGGGCCTCAAGTTGCTGGTGGGCAAGAGCGTACTTTAATACTGACTCCTTAGCATCAAGACGAGGAATTTGAGGCTTCACACCATTGGAACTCGCCACTTTCATCATAGTCATCATCGACGCATAGCCCTTCAGAGCCCAAACGCCGTGAGCCTCAGTGGAGTATGAAAATCCCGGGCTCCGACATGGCGTTTGAACTAACGCCTGTAATCCTACGCCTAGCTCTCTGAAAATGCACAATTTTGCCATTATGTACTCGAGGGCGCACATGAAGCATAACTCTGTGTCTACGCCGACGGTGATTAAGAAAGTTCGCAGAACCGGCGACGGGTTAGACGAGACAATTTCGAGCGCTGAAGGTAGTAATGATTGAAAATAGAGCCAGAAGAGGCGTAAGACGAAGAAGAGGTTGAAGAAGGTGGAGAAGGATTCAGCGGAGTGAGAGTCCATGACCCACGCGATAGGCTCGGGTTTGAGCTTCTGGAGCTGTGCCCTTGGGCACGTATTGTTTGGCGCGTTGGGGGAGAGTGCTATAATTTCCTGAACAAGCTGCACAATCAGTGATTCAGTGGAAGGAATGGGTTTCTCTAGAAAGGTGACATTTCTCAGAGACCCAGAGAGGTTTTTCAACGTTGAGCAGGGTAGAGCCGGTAATATGGGTTGGACCCGCGGGTCAAACCCGCCAACCCGCCAAAAGAGACGGGTTAGGGTTGGCCTTTGGCCAACCCACCACCACCTGAAAAATATGAGCCCGCACCGCCATAACCCTAACTCGCGGTGGGTTGGCCCGCCAACCCGCGGGTTAACCCACCTATTTTTTTTTAAAAAAAAATAGATAACAAAGACAAAAGTAAAACAAATTTTTACTTCGAACTTTATTGTCATTAGAAATAATTAGATAAATAAGGTTATTCAATATTGCTCATTGGTTTCATTGAAAAAAAAAAGTGTGAACTTGTGTATTATTATGTTGGAAAATTGGACAATCATATACTATTTGTATTTTATTGTGTTGTAATTTTTATTTGGATGTTTCTAATATTTTATATCATTTTTAGTATTTTTATTTTGTATTATATATAATTGCTAACATTTAAAAAAATAAGAAAATTTAAAAAAAAACAAAAAAAATAAAAATAAAAATTTTGGCGGGTTGGGCCAACCCACCTTGGCGGGTTAGGGTTGGCAAAATGCCAACCCGCCAGAAAACGGGCCTTTTGAGCCCGCACCGAACAACCCACAACCCGCCACGGGCCAACCCCTAACCCGCGGGTTGGCCCGTTTTACCAGCTCTAGAGCAGGGTAAACCCCTGCAAGCAAACAGTGAAAATCATGGCAGCTTCTGATTCCGACCCAGAAGTCCGGTCATCTCTTAAATGAACAGACCGAGTGGAACCGTCCTGATCAGCTTGGGCTGAACTGGCGAGTTCGAATGCAAGTGATTCGGACCAGTCGTCCAAGTTGGGGAGATCGCATATCCATGACCAAATGCCCATTATTGAGAGAAAGCTAGGTTTGATTTCTCTCTCTCGTGTAGGGGTGTTTGGGAGATGAACCATGAATGAGAAATTTATGGAAGGAATGAATGATGAAGGAGGGGACAACTTGGAAGCAGAGGAGTCCAGGGACGGATGAGGAACTGGTGGTGGAAAGAGGCTAATTGTGTCTTGTTTTGAGATTTTAGGTTGGACTCATTAATGAGGCCAGTTTTGTTTCGCTTTTTAACGCAGATTCTTCTACGCCCTCATCTTCGAAAGGCATGCAATTGTTAGCAATTGTTAGCAACTGCATATACGTTTGTAGTCCCAGTTTATAAGGTATTATATATGTGATGTCATCGAATGGTTTCTTGGTTTTCATCACTTTTTTTAATGTTTATTTTCTTTTAATTAGTCAAAATAAAAAGAATGGGCTGTTTTTATTTTTGACTAAATGATCGCCCTCGATCATATTTAATTTGCAAACCAGAGCGGGGGACCCAAAAGTTATACCTGACGATGCACTGATTAAAATTAATCAGGCTATTATTAATACTAAAAAATTAACGAGGCTATTAATTAATGGACTAAAGTTTTTAAGGCGAAATGGGGTGCGTATACGTACGTATGTGTAATACCAATACAAATATACGAGTTATATTTTCCATTTTAATTAAAAAAACAATGCAATTGTATGGAGGGAATCAGTGTAATTTTTTGCGCCTAATTATCTGCGTAACCTGTGTATGTCTATTATAATATTATATAGGGATAATTAATCTCCAGGTTCTTATAGTTTCATCTGATTTTTAATTAGGTCCTTATAAAATTTTTTCTTTTTATCAGATCCTTTTACTTTCGTGTGTTTTTAATTAGGTCCTTCTATTTTTTTTTCTTTTTATCAGGTCCTTATAGTTTCACTTATTTTTTAATTAGGTGCTTTGTAGTTTTTGAAAAATATTTATTAACTTTATTCTTTAAAATTAATTTCATTTTTAAATTAATAATTATATAATTGGACAAAATAATTAATATAATCATTTAGTAATTAATAAATAATCAGAATAATAATTATACTTAAATATAAATTATTTATAATCATATTTTAGTTTTAGATAAATTTATTATTATAATTTGAATTTTATAATTATAAAAATTTGAATTGAAAATAAATAATATATTTGTTTAACTAAAAATTTAAAAGAATATTAACATAAGATTGTTACAATAATTTATTATTTTTAAAATGTTATTATTTGTCAAATAAAGAATAAAAACTAGAAGGACCTAATTAAAAACAAGTAAAACAATAAGGACCTGATAAAAAGAAAAAAATTATAAGGACTTGATTAAAAATATATGAAAATATAAGGATCTGATAAAAAGAAAAAAAATTATAGGAACCTGATTAAAAACCGGTTGAAACTATAAGGACTTATATATTAATTATCCCTATTATATATGTATAAAATATCTTGATCTCACCAACATAACATTTTAAGGTTTTACGACCTATTAATTTGTAGAAAAATTTATAATATATCCTCAATTTATTTTATTGATTAATATTTTTTTAGACATTTGAAAAAAGACAAATAAATAAAGACAAAGTTCTTTTTCTTTTTTGAACAGGGCGGATGGCATGTGTTTGGTTGACAATTCTTGACAGTGGCTTTGATTTTGAAAACCACAGACAAATTATGCAAAATAGTCAGTGCTCAATCTGAAAATATAGATTTGTAGGAAAAAGGTGAGCACTTGGTAGTTCTATTATGGTAAACTGATATAAAAAATAATCCTAGCTATGTGTAACCTTTAATTAATATTCTTTTTGTTTCTTATTATAAGTTTCAAATAACTAATTCACGGATAATAAATAATTAGTTAAAATTAATAAATAGCTAGAAATAGACTTTTATCTTTAAATATACCCTTATAATAAATGGAAAAAAAGAATAAAAAAGAATGTATGGGAAAAAATATCATAAGAGAGAAATAATTAAGGTTAACATTGAAAAAAAGCAGACCACACCCCTTCCCAAATTTGAAACTTATAAACAGGACAAGAGAGAGTAATATCTAAAATAGAAAGGTTTAAACACAAGAAAACTGTGGATTGAAATTTAGAAATGCGTGATTGGTTAATTACGTGATATTTTAGAATGAATTAATTAAAAGGCTTTTTGAAAAATGGAGCTAGAAGTTGAGGATACAATTGAGAAAGAAAGTTCAATTACTTGGATTGAGAGAGAGAGAGAGAGAGATGATAGGTTTGAAGTTTGATTTCGGAGATGAATTAATTGCGTTGACATATTTAGATTTTGGTTTGATAATCCGAATGATAACTACATATGGTTTGATTTCGGAGATGAATTAACGCGTATTTGGGTAATGTAATTCCATTTCCAATTCATTGTTCTCTTCTGCCAGCCGCATATCTTGAACACGCGCCTCTCGTCTTAGCCTAATAAAATTCAAGAGAATTACATTAATAAAATTGTTAAAGAGGATTATTGAATGCAAAGAACGAGAAGTATGGAGAAAACGTATCCATTATTCATGGTGAGATAGTATTAATAAGCTCATCCAACAACTAACAATAAATTCATTTAGGGTGTAAAACTAATCAACCCTTTCTCATCAATGGTGAGAAGTTAAGGGAGTAATATTTTACAATAGTTTTTCTTTACATCTAATTCATAAAGTAAGCGGTTCTCCCTATCCAAATGAGCACTCTAAATTCATTAGATTTAGATTATCTAAATCTGATTTGAATGGTCCATATTTAATTTTTTTATTTGTATTTTTATAAATAAATGCACTATATATATATATATATATATGAATTCATTAGAAGCCGCACTAAGGGCGTTTTTTTTTAAAAAAAAGGTATTAAGTACCCAAAAGGGACTTGTATTTAAAACTATAATTTATTCAAAAATACATTGGTTTTTTGCGGACTTCATTTTTTTTTTTTTTGATACAAAGCAGGGAAAGCAATAAGAAACTATCCTTTGTCCATATGGACTATAATCTGT